TGTCTGCTCGAGATCCATCTTACTGAAATAAACAGTAGAAAGATGAGGAGACCTGTGGTAAGAAACCTACTTATGATATGATGAATGAAGATGCATATGCAATTATTTCAAGGAAATTAGAGACTTAAATTTGCTTTAGACCAAAAAGGAACACACGTTATATTAATAAATCAAAGTTTGAGTACATAATGCCTCTTTGGGCTTACAAAGAAATACAAAAACTCTAAGATAAAAAAGTTGTACGCATCCTCTTCAGTGCGATGTAGGCGTTCAGACTCCGCTCCTCATGAAGCTGCTTGGTGAGTTCCAGAACCTTCTTCTTGTTTGCATAGAATTGGGCCTCGAAAGTGTCTCGCTCCCCCTTAAGCTGTATCAAATCCCTTTGCAAGTCTTCAAGAGAGGTGGGCATGTCAGGATACAGGATAATGTATGGGACATCACCTTCCGCAACAGGCTCTATGATAATCGGGAGAATGGAGGGGTAAGGCATCATAAGACTTTGAGCACGAGCTCATACCCATTTGAGGTAAGGCTCAAGAGGGATGGAATTCTTGTGCCCCAATGTCTTGCTATCTACCTTGTTCGACATCCTCCAAGCTCAGATAAACCTCTGGCGGTGACCTTGATCGTCATTCTCGTAGTCAAATACCAACCCTTGAATAAGCATCTCATGGGGACCATCCCTTCGGGCATAGCCAAATTGTCTTAAGGCTAAGCATGGGTTGTAGGTGTTACCTCCCCTAATGCCAAGTAAGGGGACATTAGGGAATTCTCCATAATGATCGATGATAGTAACATTCTCCCAAGACCGGGAGCACCAATGAATGTCTGAATGTTTGAGCGTCATCAACCTATGTGACCACCTTGAACCTTGCCCGTTCTTCAATACAGATTGGGGAAGATGCGAAATAAACCATCTTGCCAAGAGAGGAGTACAACACATGAGAATACCCCTTTTCCTCATAGTGCGAGAGTGAAAATAATGTAGGATGTCTCCTAACAAAGTAGGCACTGAGTTACAAGACATGAATATTTTGACAGTGCTTACATCTATGAGTTGGTCAGGATTTGGAAACAAAACCATCCCATAGATGAGAAGAGCCATAATATCATCAAAACCTTGCAAGTCCAAAGAGTTCTAACAGTTTTGAGCTTTCTCAAACAAGAACTTGGCTAAGAAACCTTTGACCCACTCTTTGTTTCCCAATTAGTTGTGACATCAGATGGTTGCAAGTGTAGGGCTTATGCAATCTCTTATGGCTTTGGATCTCCTTCCGTACTGTTGAAGCGTAGTTGATTGAGAATGGGAATCATCAAGAGTTGGGAGAATTCTTCCAAAGTTGGCACAAGTTGATAATCGGGAAATGTGAAGCAACGATGTAGAGGATCAAAGAACTGGAAGAGCACCTTCAACATATCCTCATCAGTGCTGGAGGTAAGCAAGTTTAGGAGGCGACCATGTCTTTCGGTAAACGGAGAATTTTCGGGAACCCTTGATGCTAACTCTTTAAATTGAGGAGGGATCCTTACAAGATTGACTTGAATGGTTTTCCTGCGAATAGAATCCATGTCCTACAAAACAGAACAAAGATAAATCCCAAAAATCCATGAAATGGTTAGTTAGTATGAGTATGCTGTTATGATGTTTATGATGTTACGTACAAGTAAACATATATAAACAAAACAAACAAGTCCTTAGGTTTAGGCTTTCATGGAGTCTTATAGGTATGTACCCTCTTGAAGTTTAGTTGACTCAAACATGTCCTAGCAATAGTAACCAGGTTCTAAAGGAGCTCACACTACAAGAAAATTAGTGTTTAACGACACAAAAATTGCGACAGTTATGTGATAACTGTCGTAATTGACATATAGAGACAGTGTTTACGACAGTTGACACCAACCGTCCCTAATATTTATTTTGCGACGGTATATTTAACCATCATAATATTATTATTACGACGGTAAAACAACCGTCGGCCCCCATTTAACACTTTTAACATTGATTTTTCACCAACAACTAGTCACGACGGTAAAATTAACCGTCCTAAAAGGCATATCACGACGGTAAAGCACCCGTCGCACCCTTAAACCTTTCACGACGGTAAAATTATCCGTCCTAAAATTCATTTCACGACGGTAAAACAACCGTCGCACCCTTAAACCTTTCATTTGAGTTTGAATATATTGAATTGATGTTAGGTTTTCTAATTTGTTGTTTTAGGGTTTTATTTTTTTTAATGATTTTTTAGGATAATATTTGGTTAGGATAAAATATGTATCGTCCCTTATCCATTCTATGATACTGAATTTTGTCCAAACTCAAGCCATAAATCTTCCAACAACAACCGATAACATCATCATCATCATCAATGACAACCTTTTCAACTGAATTCTTATCACACACTCTCAATTTCAGAAACCACCCAAACCGCACTTCTCGCTGTTCAAATCCCAACACTATCGTCACTTCCTCAACCCCGGGCAACACCAACAACCGAAGAACAAGAATCAGGGTCAATGAAACAAGGCCAAAACTTGATCAAGATTACGATGAAGCTCTCATTAGGTCATTCAAATCAGCTAAGTACAATCGAGCTCTCCGCTTTCTTAAGCGCATGGTTGACAGGGGTTATAAACCTGATGCCATTCTCTGCCATTCTCTTCATCATCTTCCTCTCCATCTTTGATATTTCACTTTTCTTTATAACTGAGCAGAGATTTCTGAGTTTAGTTTCTGTATCATCTATTCTTTTTTAGCCACTATCCATGTTTTAGCCCTTTTCATTAAACTAGCCTTCATTGTTTTCATTTTCCTTGTGCTTTTGGTATATTAACTTGTTCATCTGTTTCTTATTCCTGTTCAGTTTTAATTTGAGTTATCAGGTTGTAGTTTCTTGGGGTGTAAAATTATGGTTTTTAGATGTGATTCAAAATTTGCCATTTAGGGTTGTGGTTTTTGGGTAGGGGTTACAAACAGTTTCTGAGTATGGCATCTTTGACTGCTGGGGAAATTCCTGCAAACTATTTTGATCCTATTGATCAATAAGATTTGAGCCGTTGAACACCATCTGCACTTTCCATCCACAAATTTTGTCGAGTCTGTATACGAAATGCAAAATCATTAGCATCACCAAAGTATGAGAAGTTTACAAGTTTTAACGTAAAAAAACTTTGGAACAATCTCACATGTAGGAAACTTTAGCAAGTAAATTACCCGTGACATAGAACAGAAAGCTAAGCAGTGTCTGTTGCGGGTTGAGTCACTCCTGACTTCACCAACAGCTTAGTCAAATTCTCTGGGGAGCAAACTTGATACTTAAATTTTCCAGAGGGTGAAAGAAAAACTTCTGCAAGTTCAAGCTTATCCGAGGTAAGACTAGTGGTGTCCATAGTTTTACTCAGTACCTTCAGTGCAAGTTGAACTGCTTCTTCCCTTGTGATATCATCCTTGTAGTCCTGTTTTAGAATTGACTGTGCTGCCTGATTGTTGGCACCAATGGCACAGTGCTAGTCCTGTTTTAGAATTGAATTGTGTGTAACCCTGCTTAGTATCACAGAGAGATTGAACCAACTGCTCAACGGGCATAGGCTCTTGGTACCCAAATGAGTAACGTTGTGCTTCTCCAAGATGTGAGATGTCTATATGGGCCAGTAACTAAATTACTTTTCAGCTTCATTCCAGCAAGGAAAGTGTTTCCAGGATAATCAAAACTTTCCCATAAAAAGTTCAGAGTGTTGTTTGCATCTTTCAGAACAAGATTTCCTGAATCCAAAAGCTGAACAACTGGTTTCACCACAATTCTTGATGAATTGGAGGACCAAACAACGCCTTTGGAGTCATCAAGAATAACAAGATTTCCCTGATCAGTGAGTTTCAGCAATCCTGTTGAGTTTTGTACAGGAGTATCTCTATTGGCAACCCACACAATAGTCGTAGGTGATATGGTTTTGTACCATATACCAAAGTATTGACGTTGTGGATCTCCAAAGTTGAAAAATCCTGCTTCAAAGGTTCCAGCTGCAGAAACAAGTGTTTCATGATGTTGGATAAACTGATTTGGAACAAGAGTGTACTGTTTAGAGAAAATAGGTATAATGGAGCAAAAGAAGATTAGCACTAACACCTCATGTCTGAAGAGGCATTCATAAGTAATACATGCTCGGAATTCAGTGCAGGGGAAGGTCACTGTGCATACTTTTGCTAGCATTTCTTCTTCAAATAGTCAGGAAACAACATCAGTGAGAAGGCTTGTGAGGTAACTCTATCTATCTATCTGTTGATGTGTTTATCTGAATTTCATGTGTTTGATAGTGCGCATCGATGATTGTTATATATCTTCAATGTAACTTCTTTGATTTCCTCAGGATGGAAGAACAATGGTGGAGAGTAAGACAGCAGACCTGAGATCTCAAGGACTTCGTTGAATCCTTAAAGTCGGTATTGTGTTTACAAGATATTGTCTCTTTTAAATATTGTGTGATACTTCAAGGACTTGTTGAATCCTAAATTGATCGTGTTGAATTGTTGTTTTGGTGGTAGTTGAAATAAAAGCTTGAAGTTTGGTATTTTATTTGAAGGAAGGTTTCATCACAACATTTGGACCACCATTCATTTAATGGAAAGAAATATTTTTGATATTCCAATGTCAATATTCATAGGCAATCCCAAGATTCATATATACTTTTTTTTTGTAGTTAATGTTTGTGTTTGAATTTCAAATTGCTAAACAGTAATACCTTTCTTGAGTATGTGGAATTAAAGTTCCTTTCTTCTGTTACCTTTTCCAAACCTACTACCTTAGGCAAACACAACTAAAAGCAACTACTCATATAATGAAATTGGTCTATATTGTAGTTATAATTTTTCAAAAGAAAATATTTTCTAGTGCTTTTGATTTTGATATTGGTTTGATTTTGTTGATTGATTACTTCATCCTAAATCTTAAGGATTACAACTCTATGGTCAAACAATGTTGATGTGATTTTTTTTTCCATTCTAAATGGTTGATCAAATTGAGTCATGTTCGCCTAATACGTTGGTACAATGTCGAATATGTCACGATGAAGATGAAGACTTAAACATGGATACACCTTGTTCTTGTTCTGGTACATTGCAGTATGCTCATAGAATATGTGTGCAAAGATGGTGCAATGAGAAAGGTGATACTACTTGTGAGATTTGCCAACAGGTCTGCACTTTGTTTCTATTGTCTTACTCAACATATAAGTTATTCAAATTTGTACGAAAAAAATGCTTAATTATGTTCCCCTCTATTTTGTTGATTGTGTTGTTGAATGCAGCAATTTAAAGGCTACACTGCTCCTCAAGCTCCTTTGTTTCACTATAGGTATTTAATTATTTATTCTTTAGTTAATTTCCTTTTCTACGGATCAAATGATGATAGAAGATTGTTAATTATCTTTCAGGGGCAACTGGGAAATTCCAAGAGTTGGTTTCAATAATCATCAGTTCATAGCATTGTTTCCTGCTAATCATGAATTTCTAGACTTTAATTTTGAATATTCAGCTCCCTCTACAAGGAGCCGCGTGTTCATTCGCATTGTTGCCATCATTGTAATTTCCATTTGCTCCCGTTACCTCTATGTTTTACTAAATTTGGAATCTTTGTATATTCAAGCTATTCAAGTTTACTACTGTGCATACTTTTGCTAGCATTTCTTCTTCAAATAGTCAGGAAACAACATCAGTGAGAAGGCTTATGAGGTAACTCTATCTATCTATCTGTTGATGTGTTTATCTGAATTTCATGTGTTTGATAGTGCGCATCGATGATTGTTATATATCTTCAATGTAACTTCTTTGATTTCCTCAGGATGGAAGAACAATGGTGGAGAGTAAGACAGCAGATCTGAGATCTCAAATCAGGCGAAAAGGTGACACAAACCAAGCTTCAAGTATAAGGAATCCATGGCAGCAATCAGATCAGACACAGTCTCATTCTAATCATGAAACATAACTTAAGCAATCCCGAGACGTAAGGTGCCAACTGTGTAATCATGTATAATGGTTGCAGTCTCGTTAGTTGTTATAGTGTAGGCATAGATGATAGAACATCTTATAATGATTTTGGAATTGTTAATACATTTTAACTTAGTAGAATCTGTTCTTAGTCCCTCTCATGTGATGAATTTAAATTTAGTTCACATATGGAACATACATATTCTACTATCCAAGTTCTGTTAAATTCTTATGTAACCAAACAAGCTACATTTTCTTTTGTTTTGATTTCAGGTGGCATTGGCAACAGCAGCAAAATTTATAATGCTGGTATGTTTTCTACAACAACATTTGTTGAACACTACAACACTATGGTATAGTTTTTTGACTAAATAATTGTGGTATGCCAGAATATATTTGTTGCAGGAACAGACACAAGCACGTACACACTAGAATGGGCAATGGAAGAGTTAATGCACAATCCAGAAATCATGTCAAAAGTACAAAATGAACTCGAACAAGTTGTTGGCAAAGGTATTCCAGTCGAAGAAACAGACATAGCCAAATTACCATACATGCAAGCAGTTATAAAAGAGACGTTTCGTGTACATCCACCAGTTCCGTTATTACTACCTCGCAAAGCAGAAACAGATGTTGAAATTGGTGACTACATTATTCCAAAAGATGCACAAGTTTTGGTTAATGCTTGGGTTATTGGCAGAGATCCAAGTAAATGGGAGAATCCTAATGCTTTTGTGCCGGAGAGATTTTTCAATAGTGAGATTGATTTTAAAGGACATCATTTTGAGCTTATTCCATTTGGGTCTGGTAGAAGAATTTGTCCTGGTTTGCCTTTGGCTATTAGAATGTTGCCTTTGATGTTGGGATCTTTGGTTAATTGCTTTGATTGGAGACTTGAAGATGGATTGAATGTCGATGATTTGAATAAGGAAGATGAGTATGGGATTACCTTGGAAAAATCTCAACCTGTGAGAATTGTTCCAATCAAATTGACTAAGCAATAATTTAGAATATATGCACGGTTCTTTCATGATGCAGCGGTTTGTAAACTCTTGATGTTGTCTGACCAAACAATACTGTTCTCTGTCAATGGAACTAGGATTTGTGGTCGTGCCAACATTTTACTTACTATAAGAACTAGTTATAAATAATGTGTAATTTGTTTTTGTTTTAATTTGGTGAATGGATATGGTCTTCTTCATAGAGTAAATTTAGGTTCTATTATGTTATTTGAATAAGTCACACTGTTATGGTCCTGGGAGGATCATGGGTTCAGTTTAGGTTATCCTAGTTTATAGGATTTGTTTGTTTCGATTTTCTAGGCACCTTCTATCCGTTTTATTAGGCACTATCTAGTGCATTCAGTTTCTTTTGCAGTTTCCTTTGTAAGGCTATTTATAAGCCATGATTCCTATTAATATATAAGTGAGAGAGAATAATGATTACTACTTGGCAGGGTGATGGATAATAATTTAAATAAAAAATATATATAATAGAAAAATAAAAAAAAATCAAGACATAAACAAAAGTCATGGCGACAGTAGCGAACCGTCGTAATTAACAATTAAAAATAATCAACAAAAGTCATGACGGTATCGAACCGTCGCCATGAACAATTTAATCAATTTCAAAAGATATTCACGACAGTATCGAACCGTCGCCATCAATAATTAAAAGAAACTCAAAAGATAGTCACGACGGTATCAACCCGTCGTAAACTTGAACGACAGTTTTTGTAACCGTCGCGAAATAGGTTGGGGACACACACTTCTGCGACGGTAAAGCAACCGTCGTGGAAAGCAAATTGCGACGGTTTTAACTGTCGTAATCTACAAAAATACCTGTCGCAATCTGCCAATTTTCTTGTAGTGTCAATATCACTGGTTTGTTTTCTCGGGCATTGTTTCAGCGCAAGCCTCTTTAATGGCGACCAAAATATCCCAAAAAACCAAACCTCAATGAGTGTAGTATCGAGTATCTACCAACTTCGGACTGCACCAAAGCTGTACATCTCACTACGTCCTAATGGCCAAGTTGGTGAAGTAAAGGTTCTAGAAGTTAGTTAGTGCTTCATGACATCACTTATCAGCCCCGTATTCTCCTTGACTACTCAAGGGCTACCGGTACCCACAAATATGTCACACTAATGTAGCTATTTCTTAGACCATGTCGGCATATCCCGCACAGTTTCCATAATGTATTGCTACTTACCTATAAGGTATCCCAAATCCGGGTAGAGGATTCAAACCCAAACAAAGAACTAAAATGTAAAGCATACAAGTCAAAAAATGGAAGCAAATAAATGTGATTTAGCCCTAAGGTAACCCCTCTTTTAAGATGGTCCCCAGCAGAGTCTCCAGTTCTGTAACACGGTGGGATAACTGACTTGGTTGTTTTGTGTTTGATCGCAAATGTTGCGGTTTAGCAAGAGTCGCCACCAAATTTTCTTTTATCCAAAAGGAAAGGCTGAAAAGAACAGGAAAGGCCTTTGAGATGTTTTCTTGAGTTCAGGGGGTAGATTATGAAAAGGGAAGGTATTAACACCCTTTTGATCCATGGTTTTCCATGGGCTCATAGTTACTTGCTAGATCACTTGCTTTTGTTTGAAAATGTGCTTTGTGTGGTTTTTGAAAGTATTTTATAAAGTTGCCGTCATTTAGGCAAACTTTTAATGATTCTCGTTCGTAAGAATGTATACAAAGTGTTATCTTTTGAAAATGTTTTCAAGTTTGAAAGTTGCTTTTGAAAGTATTGGTGTTTGTTTTGAAAATAGCAAGGATGTTTTTGGTTTTGAAATAGAGCAAGCAACTAGGAAAAATCTACCTACTCAAATGTCTTTCATGTTCATTTCCTCATTCCTTTGACATTGTTATCTTTGGATGTAAAAGAGACAGGCAAGGGTCATCGTATAGCCATTATTAGCAATGTTGTAAGATATCTTAGCATTTTTCTTTAGGGACTAAGAACATTTCGAAAGGCAACTTTGATAGCGTCATCGAGGGACTATGATCTTGTATTTTATTTGTTTTTGCTAAGATACCTCACATGCATAATATGGCCATTTTTGTAAGGCAACAAAGTGGATTTACCCTAAGGGTTTATATGTGCAAGTGTATTGGTTTACATGCTTGATTTGTCTTGATTAGGGTTTGCTACTTGTTGGTTTTAATCTTTCCATACAAAACCCTAATTACTAGCATTTGTATATAAAGCATTAAATTGCGGAAATTAAAATTACTACACTATTACATCATTAGGGGAGGGGATGTACAAATTACAAATCGGGAATTGCAAGAAAATTAACTTTAATGATCTATTACAACCATATTGAATTTGAATAAATGTAACAAAATGAATAAGTAAAAATGAAAGAATGTAAATGTAAAAAGTAATGCGATTTTTGTTTGGTTTTCATGAAAAGGGTTTTTTGACCTAATTAATTAAAATAAAATAATTAACTAAAAATAAGAAAATTAAGATTAAGTTAGTAAAATAAATTAATTTAAAGAAAACTAGTTTTTTTAGGGTTTTTGTGAATTTAATTAGTAAATAAAATTAATCAAATAAAAGTCCTAAGTACTAAATTGACTTTATTCACAAGAAAATAATATAATAGTTAAACCCTAGTCTAAATGTTTATTGAATAAAAAAAAGAAATTAATTTATTAAATGAAAAAATGTTTTTGTTCTTTTAGTTTTTATGAAGAAAATAAACTAAATAAATATAAATAATAAAATATAAATATTTTTGGATTTTTATTAATAATAATAATAATAATAATAATAATAATAATAATAATAATAATAATAATAATAATAATAATAATAATAATAATAATCATAATCATAATAATAATAATAATAATAATAATAATAATAATAATAATAATAAAAATAATAAAGAAAATAAAATAAAAATAAAATATAAAGAAAAGTCAGGGAGGTTAAAGTTGAAACAGGGAGTAATGTTAAGAAAAAAAGTCCGGCCCATGGAATGGAGGCCCATGCGCTTCCTGAAACAAGAAAATGACAAAAAAAATATGAAAAATGCAAAAGGCAGCGCGCTGGTTGTTGAACCCACGCCCTCTTGGTTACAAGCACGTAGCCTTACTACTGGGGTGGCTATACATCTATTAACTTAACTGAAATGATAAATATATAATACAAAATGAGTCATGAATACACTTCATCTTCAACCCCCATCCAGACCACTTGTATCTCATTCATTTCTCAAAAAAAAAAATGGAAAGTGCAAACATGAAAGTTGCTCCATTTTCCCATACGAATCAAACCATATAAATATCATAAGCTATAAATCAAAGATGAATGAGAATTTTTGAAAGTACCAAATTATGACCTAATTATTTTTAGAGGTTCAATCCTAAAATTCTCCTAGCTCAATCAATATAAATAAAATTTTATGAACATGTACAGCTTCAGGGAAATGATGTCTACATTTTATCTTCACAAATGCAAGCCTAATAATGCCTAAGTAATGAGATAGAAGTTCAAGAAAAATACCTCAAAACTGGAAATCGTGAAATGCAAATGAGCTTGATTCAAGGTGTTGGAATGATTAGGTTTGCTTCCTCAAGTTCCTAGGAAGCTAATGCAATGGTTAGCTTGAGTTGTGAGTGGCTGAATGGCTTGGAGAAGTCAATGTGCAGTGCTCTATTTTTGGCTACGGAGGATGATGGAAATGGAGTTACAGTCGTGTAAAAGGGACAGGGATGGGTTTTATTTATGCTTAGAAGTTTAGGAACCAAAAGGCTTGAAAACGTACGAGGGAGATATGAGTTTCAAGTTTTTGGTCAGAATGTGTAACAATGGAGATTTTCGATTCAGTTGAGTTCTTGTGTGTTTTAGGGCTTGTGTATGTGTGTGTTTTCTTGCAAATTACTTGTGTATCTATAAGCAAAAGGTTAGAGAGGTTTTGCACAAAGGATTTGAGTTATAGGGTTATGGCTAAGTTGCTTGATTTTGAAGAAAAGTGAGAAA